CAGTGGAAGAGCTGGCTTTTCCTACAAGTATCCGGATGTTCTGAATCCGCATGGTGGCTCTGATGTCAGCACAGCACAGCCACTGGAATTTAGCGAAATTGATTCCAGTATTACCACTCCCCACCTACCAAGCACACAGGCCTTTTCTTGGTTTTTCTCAGAACCCAACATTGCCCCCACACTAGGCTCAGCGACATGTTCTCACCATACCTTAGCAGCTATGGGGAGTCTACCTCTGAAATATTTTGCTCTACCATAGATTGTGTACAGTAGAAAAAAAAAATGTTTGATTTGGAGTCAGCGACTTGAGCCCAAATCCCTCTTTGTTGCCGACTATCCAGCGACTTTGAACAAATTTCTTAACGTGACTTTTAGATTCTCATCCTAGGAAATGGTAATCATTAATGATTACAGTACTATTTCACAGATGGTAATTGAATTAAAATGAGATAAAATAAAAACTATGTTGTAAATTTTAAACTTTGCATAAATATAAGGTGTTGTTAATCACAGTTAACCACTGAAAACAACCCCCCCCCCACACACACACACACCACCACCCAGCAAAACTGACTTTTCCTGGGAATAAAGTCATGGAACATAGGCACGAATAGGGATACCCTAAATATTGTAGAACCTCATTCAACATACTCACTTATGAGAAAAATCCACCGTAATTAATGTTTCTATAGTGCATTATAATGTGTTTTATAGAACACATTATCTCTTTGATACTCACAATTATTTTGTGAGGTGGGTATTATTATTGCCAGTTTTTTTTGCATTTATTGCAAATGTGGAAACTGAGTCATAGAACAATAAAATGGCTTGTCCAAAGTCACACAGCCAGTAAATGGTAGAACTGCAACTCAGCCTGAGACTTCCAAATTCTCCTAGGCTCTTTCAACTACACCACTCTTTCAAAGTAGCAAGTAATCTGTCACTTTATAGCAAGAATTTTCTAGAACACGCAGAGCTAATTGACTCAGATGGCAAGAAGCAGGAAATTACTTTCTTAAATTGAGTCGTAGGCTTCTATTTCTGGAACAGTTTTGATCCTCCACATCCTGCAAGTTGTCAAGATGGGGGAGTTTCTCATTTTAACTTTGAATATCTATACTCCAACATAAATAAAGAGAAGCTTCAATAACTAACATCTCAGGAACTATCTAAAGAAAGCTAAGGACTTGCTTTCTCTGCCAGAATCATTATACATTATTAAACTGTAGAACACCCATTCTGAACAACAGTTTTATGAAAAAAAAAGCCAACACCCCAAATCCATCATTCCTTAAAACTGCTGCTTATGAAAACAAGAGTATCGGATATATTTGAATTTTGTAATCACTCAAGATGGGGGTCTGCGATACCCATTAGAGTTGTTGATTAGGTTTGAACCCAATACGTAGTACCTACAGATTGCTGATCCTGTCTCGAATTCACACAACAATCAATACAAAGAATAATGCTAACATTTAGATCTATTGGATTGTGAAGGTTTCTGTTTGTGATTTTAGAACAATGCCTTGGCATGAAAGCAAAACACCTTTTGGTGTTTTGGGCTAAAGAATTTTCAGTAGCTGATGCTTCAGATCTGACTTCTCATTATCAGCTTTTATGCCTCTAGATTACAACTTGTACTCCCAAGTGAAGCAGTATTTGATCGGGGGCAAGGTACGTGCCCATTAAGACTGTCCTGCTCAGAACTGCTTTCCTCTTCAACCTAGCAAAGAACAACAGCAGGAGAGTGCAGAAGTAGCACTCTTGTCTCAAAGCAAGAAGGAACATGCAAAAACAGAAGGACAGAGATGGATACACCTCTAAGGTAAAAGCCAATTAAAAGAAATCAAGGATCACATTCTTCATCTCTCAAGCACCATGTCTCTCCTTGCGCACAGAAGACCAGAATACCATAAAATCGTAAGATCTTTTTATAGGCATATTCTCAAAGAGGTCTTTCTTCTGCTTCAAAGGAAATGTTTTCTTGAGTAAATTCTGATTTATTTCAAAAGGTGGCACTATACATAGACTTTTCTTTTCGGTGGAGCAAGGGAGTGTTGAGTGGATCACAAATCACACCCCTGGGAATAGTACAATGATCTCTAACACACTGTAACAGAATAATTGAGTCTTTATACGTATTTTAGGGTTTTCTTCTGTGACTAATTAGATCCATAAAGTGTCAAATTTGTCTCTTGTGTCTGACAGAAAATATGAAAAGATTAAACAACTCTTTGTATTTCATACTTGTAATTCTTTATATTTCATACTTCGTGAACTAGGAAATGAAATGTATATAAATGTATATATAAAATAGTGATTATGTGTTAAATTAATGGGGATAGATTGGCAAAAAACTCAGCATTAAAAGATTGCCTTTAGGGGCACTTGGGTGGCTCAGTGGGTTAAAGCCTCTGCCTTTGGCTCAGGTCATGATCCCAGGGTCCTGGCATCCAGCCCACATTGGGCTCTCTGCTCAGCAGGAAGCCTGCTTCCTCCTCTCTCTGCCTGCTTCTCTGCCTACTTGTGATCTCTGTCAAATAAATAAATAAAATCTTAAAAAAAAAGATTGCCTTTAGAAATGTATTTCCTTGTCTTAAATGTAAGTATCTATTATTATAATTTGGTATGTGCTATTATCCTTTCTATATATTCCAAGCTCAGAGTTATTTTCAAAACTTAATTATTTGCAGATTAGCTTTGGATAAATATTCTTCTTTCATCCTCTCATTAAAAGTTAGAGATGTGAAAAATCTATTGTTACATTTAAAGCTCTTTTAATTATTTCAGGGAACTGATAAGCATTGAAGAAAATTAAGTAATTTCAGTTATGGGTACTTGGAATTGTATGATTAGCTGTCACACCCCAGTTGGGAATGTCTGCAGATGGCCCATCTAGCATTCTGGGATCTTGATTTATTTTTATGTGGGGCTCTAAAATACTAAAAGATATTGCAGAGTTCATCCTGCCCCTTAATCTCTTCATTTATGTGTCAGTTAAAACACACTTTTCAGGGGTGCCTGGGTGGCTCAGTGGGTTAAAGCCTCTGCCTTTGGCTCAGGTTGTGTTCCCAGGGTCCTGGGATCAAGCCCCGCATTGGGCTCTCTGCTCAACAGGGAGCCTGCTTCCCTCTCTCTCTCTGCCTGCCTCTCTGACCTGTGATCTCTGTCTGTCAAATAAATAAATAAAATCTTAAACACACACACACACACACACACACACAATTTTCATCCCAATGTATCCAAAGCCTCGAATAACTAATGGTGTCCTATTTTTCATATATGAAAATGACTGTTTTTATTGTTTTATAAATTGTGGAGAATAAATTTTATGTTGACATTTTCTGTGATTGGTGGTATAGATTTGAGACCTACTGGGAAAAGTAGAGAGAACTCAGAATGGAGAAAACTAACCCTCATGGGTATTGAACTTGAAACTCAGCTACAAGTAAACTGTAGTTGGTATTCATCCATCAGAATAAGAGAGAAAGAGGAAGAAAAAAGTACCATGATTTCAGTTTGGCCAAATGGGCACAATGCTGAAGCTCTGGCATATTAAGGAAGGTATAATTTCATTTCCTTTTATCTCTTTTTCAAATTCTTCTGTTTTTGTTGCTAATGGCAACAACCAGGTTATTCTTTCTGTCTCTCTCCTTCAACCGTTGCTTATTTTTATTCTGTGCTCTTACGACAGAACAGTAACTTATCTTTTGTGCTGACTCCATGTATGTTGAGAAGATATTTCCGTATAATTTACAGACATTTCTTGCCATGTATGGTTCAGTTTTCTGAGTTAAATAAGAGCAGAATTAAAATTGAATACATCATCACCCTTTAGTGACTTAACAATATTTTTGTTAAAATCACTTGCTTTACATATCTTGTTTTCTAGTTGAAATGTTAATGTACTTGTTATTTTCCTGTACCTGACTCGTCTAGATTAGTCCTTAATGTAATGTCAGTTAGTGTATCTAATGTACATTCTACACACACATTTTGATTTATATTTTCAACATAAATGATGTCTACATGTGGGCCTACTTTTGTGACTTTAACTATTTAGATTCTATCCATTTAAAAAGTATTTAGTTATAACAAATATTCTATCTGATTAAAGAAATACATTTGTCAATGTTGACTTGGGCAGAAATCTCCTGAGAATTGGCCAGAAAGCCCTGGTGAACTCGCATCCGGTGGCGGGGGCTTTTCCTGGAGCCACCAGGGCCCGGCCCGCAATCCCGCGTGGTGTCCCCTGAAGCCTACGGGAAAGCGCTCTAAAGGACGGGTGCACACGTGGCCCTGGTTGCCTCCAAATGCCATGCTGGCCAAACGTGCCCTCTACTCAGCCCCCCAGGGAGCCAGCCTCAGCACCAGCAGGTGGGGTGTATGCCACGCCCTTTGCCTGAACCCTAACTCTGGGTTGGGTTCTCGGTCTTCCATCCCCAGATACCTGGCCCTCAAGCCCTTCGGATTGGGGAACACTGAGCCACAACGCAGGACTCCACCTGCCCGCCGCCCAGGAGGAAACTGTGCCTTTAGGAGCTTCGGGAAACACTCAGAGCTGGAGAAACCAGCATGCCCACCTCAGGCCACCCTTACCTTCCATGCCTCCTTCTGCCAAAAAAAGCCAGAGCCTGAGGCTCAGGCTCACACCCTAATTCACTTCTGCACCCTGGGGAGCTCGCCTACGCGGGGGGGGCTTCCGGGAGCCCCATGGGCCCAGCTCGCACTCTCACAGGGCCACAATAGGCACCTAGCAAGAAAACACTCAGCACAGTCGGTGTATGGCCCAAGTCGCCACCCAACGCCAGCCAATTCTCACAAACTTTATGGCCAAATCAATGTTGATTTGGCCATAAAGCTTGTGAGAATTGGCCAGAAAGCCCTGGCAAACTTGCTTCCTGCGGTGGGACCTTCACAAGAGCCACCTGAGCTCAGCCTAGGGTCCCACACAGTGTCATCCTAAGCCTATGAGAAAGCGCTCTAAAGGGCAGGTTCACATGTGGCTCTGGTCACCTCCAAATGCTGGCCAAACACACCCTCCACTCAGCTCCCCGACCCCCACAGGGAGCCGGCTTCAGTGGCAGCAGGTAAGCCCTGCCAGACCCCTAGGCCCAAACCCCAACCCTGGGTTGGGTTCTCATGCTTCCATCCAGAGAGTCTTAGCCCTGAAGCCCCCCACACTGGGGACCTGTGAGCCACACCCTAGGAGACAGCCTGCCCCCCAGAAGGAAACCGAGCCATTTGGAGCTGCGAAGAACCCTCAGAATGGGAGAAACTGCATGCCCCACTGAGGCCACCTCCAACTTCAGCCGCCCCCCTGCCACAAACCTGGAACCTGATGCCCCCTTTGACCACATCCCTCCACTCAGACCCCTGGCGACCCTCAGCACCTGAAGATCTTTCCTGTACTCCCAGATTCTCATGGGACTCTTCATGGGGCATATTCTGAGAACAAAGTTCATGTCAGGGCCACAGAAATCTCTGACACTGGTTATAATGAGACTCTGTGATGTCAGTGGAGTCCCAAGCCATGGGCCATCTCACAGTTTGTCTGCAAAAACATGGTGGTGGGAAACCCACATGTTGATAGAAAATGCAATACAGTAGCATGCTTTCTGTCCCACAGGAACGTCACACAATGTGGCTGCAGAGTGATCTCAGAAGGAAGCCACCTTTGTAGAAGAAACTTCATATGCGAGGACTCCCAAGTCCCTTGTCCTGGACACTAGGTTCCACCAAGGCTGGGGGCACACAGAGGGATAGAGACTCCCCCTGCCCATTGGGGCTTTGAAGGACACCTGCTATTCTAGGACAAAAGATCCTGAAACCATTCATCTGCCTGTCATCCAACCACACATCCGTGAGAAAGATATACTCCAAGGAGAAAGGACGGACCGAGAGACAACAAATGACAGCCTTGTGTGACAAGTGCCATGACAGGGGACACTCAGGAGGACTGGGGCTGTGCAGGATTGGCCAGACCAGGGGGCAGGGAGACCAGGGGTGCTCCAGGAGGATATCACAGCTGTGCCCTTGTGTGGCTACATGTGTCAGTGTGACTGGGCATTGGCCAGACCAGAAATGACAGTGCGGGCAAGGGGCAGTGTCCCTAAACTGTCTCCTGCAAGGCAAAAGTTCACTAATGAGATTTCTTTCAGTGCAATTTCATGTCACATGCATCTGTGAGTCCCTAAAGCTGATTGTGTAGAACATGAAGTACATAGTGGGCCATGGCTTTCAAACCTGAGGTTCCAGGGGCAGAGCACATTTGATTTTTCTATTGGCTGCTTTCAGAGTAGGATGACTTTTCCCACCTTCATCTCTGAACCCAGGACAGGGAACAAAGGCAACACAGATCTACACTTCGAAAACTCAACAGAAATCTGCAAACCCAAGGTCTCACAGGAGCTAAAGGTTCAAGACCAGGGTGACAGAAAGGGGAGGCCGATAGCAAGGAACCAAGGGAACACGTCATGTGCGTGGGAGCAGGCTCACTTCTCTATGGTCGGAAGCAAGCCATGCCTGACAGGAGGGAGTCCCACCTGCACCTGGTCCGTCTGTTTGCTACCCTTGAGCAGAGCAGAGGATGGGCTGAGCTGTGTGTGGCTGTGGGGGGGAGATGGCCAGCTGGCCGCAAATGCTACCTGCCAAGGACCTATAGGCCCATCTCCTGGTCCTCAGCTAAGATGAAACAATCATCGTGTTTAGTGACCTATTTCCAGGGGCAGGTCATGTGCTCAGTGCTTTGGTGACTATATCTTCTCTTATTGTGTTCTTTAAAAACACCTCAGGCAGGTAAGATTGACATACAAGAAGCTGTCCTATAGTTAATGTATGTAACTTGACCCTGACCCTAACCCTAATACCTAGATAAGAGATACCCAATTTAGAATACTGCTCATAAATTAAGGATGGTTTTTAGGAGCTAAGGAATTCAGGGACCAACCTTCTTTGGTCTACTCTCCCTTGAATCCAGTAAATCCAAACCCATTCAGCCACGTGCTATCTGAAGAGTGGCCACACGGGGGCAACAGTGCCCCAAATCCCTCTGCAAAGCCCATTCTTCTTTCATCCTGTCAAACCTTGTTCAATGTTTATAGATCATGGTAGAGATGATGTGACTTGATGAGAAGTGTGACTTTGTTGAATTTTTTAAAAAACTGAACTAATTCTTTCAACCTGTTAAGAATAGAAGATATTTTCTAAAATCTCGGACTGTGAGAGCACATGAAGGCCCAGGGGCCTAGGAAAAGGCTACTACTATGGAATCTCTTCAGGTCTACTTAGGAAACAAGGATGGCTTCTACTCCACTTCTCTGCAGGAAGAATTTGTGTCAATTAACAGCCCTGAATCCACACAAAATACTGCAGCTTGGAGGAAAATAAAGGAGAATCAACAGCCTCCAGAAGCAGAGGAAGAACCACACCCAGGAATAAATAAGAGAGACCAGGAAGGCTCTGCTCAGGCCAATTTGCATTTCTGTAGATCACTGGAGCTAGAATGTCCCAGTTTCCCTGGGTCCTGTGTCCGGCAGAGCACACACCGTGTTGGAACCCATGAAAGCCTCCTTGTCCCTTCTTCCACAAGACACCCTCTACCCCTTGATGACTCCACTTGCTTCTTGGAACTCCCATTCCTCTTTTTGATGACATCGTTCACTTTTCCCATCACAGCCATTATATAGAGTACATTGAACTACTTACTATTCTGTCATTTAAATGTTTTTTGGATTGTTTGGTGGGAATTGATACCTTGCATCATCTACCCTAATGTAGAATCCCTTGTTGCATTGCATGACTTCACTGTGGACTCCGAATGCCCTCACAGTGTTGTGTGGCTACTGTCCGGGCAAGGTCTTCACTAAGCCAGCTCAGCAGTTGCAGTGAAGGCCTGACCCAGCACTGCTATTTGTGTGTAAGTAAGGCAGCACAGCCAAACCTTGGTTTGGGTTCAGAATTGCTCATGGCCCCTCAGCCACATCAGGTGGCTTGGGGGCACACCCTGAAGACACTGGCTAGTCCAGTGTTGCCCTGGGGAATCTCCATGGAACAGCCTTTGTGTCCAGTGGGGGAACTCCATAGGAGCAGGGCCGATGGGAATCAGAACTCCTGAGATAGAATCCATTGTGGATGAGAGACCAAAAGAACCCCCAGATTAAAAACGTATTCTATCTAGGGAATCGGGAAACCGAAAGCTAACCAGCTAGTTTCGCTTCTGTACGAACGCTTGCTTTTCGCACGCGCGGGCTAACCAGCCAGTTCTGCTTCTGTTTGATTGCTTAACGCGAGCGTGGGCCCCCTAAACCAATCAGCTAACACCAAATATGCCTTTTTCAAATGTTCAAAATGTCAACCAATCGGCTCGGCCCCACCCAAAATTTGTTTGTACCTGTCCATAAAAACCCTGAACTTACCCAGCCCGGGACCTCTAAGCGTCACCGGCAACGAGTGAGCGGAGGTCCGGGTTCGAACCTGCAATAAATGACCCTTGCCGCTTGGCTTTGACTCATGTCTCTGGTGGTCTTTTAAGGTGGGCGTATTACTCATCCGGCATTGCATTTGGGGGCTCGTCCGGGATACCCCCCCCTTTTCAAGCCCACCAGACAACTAGTCAACGGGTCGCTGGAAACCGATCGGTAAGAAAGCCGGCTTTGTTCCTGTGCTCTGGTTTTTTTTTTTGTGCTTTGTTCCTGTGCTCTGCTTTTTTTGTGCTTTGTTCCTGTGCTCTGTTTTTTTGTGCTTTGTTCCTGTGTTCTGTTCTTGCGCTTTGTCCTTTCTGCATTTTATATCTGGGTTTGAGTCCCAGATCGAGGACTGGCAAATAAGTCCCTGGCGGACGTGCTATAGGGCTGCCAGTGGGCCGACGGAGACGTCCCTCGTTGCCCAACAGGGGCCTCTCAGGGATCGTGGGTTCGAGTCCCACCTCGGGGGCCATCAAAAGTGTAGTACGTCTCCATGTTGTGTTGTTAATTATGTGTTCCGTGTCTCTTGTGCCAGTTACCTAAGTTACAACAGTAGATATGAAGCTTTTATTCTGTTAAAGGGGAGGGTGTCCAACCTGTTTGAATCTGAGGAGTGCCTCTCTGTGCGAGTGTGTCTGTACGGCTCCACCGCTTCGGCTACAGAGTCTGAGTGGGCTGCACCCTGAGTCTCGCGGGGCATCATATGGCATAACGGTCATCTACTCCACGGAGTAGCCTGGTCTGGGGTTTATACGGACAGGCCTTAGCTAAGATGCTCCTAAGTTCCCGCGAGGGACGCGAGCAGGACAGCACCTGAGAGATCCTCCTCCCTTTGTCTGCGACTTCGTGCACGATGAGAGGGGATCAGACACTGGTATCTAAAAATTGCATTCGGACTAAACCAAGTTTAGTAACATGGGACTAAATGAATGTTATGTCTTCTAATGTTTTCTCTTAAACATTGCTGGTTCTCTAACATTTGCCCCTCCAGGTTGGAGGAAACTTTTTCCCAAATTTTTCGTGTCTCCTAACCTGTTTCACTTTTAGATTCACCCTGGCAGACGAAGGAGAAGAATTCCTACTCCCGCTGTCCAAGGATGGAACTCACCTAGCCCCTACCTTCAGCCCCCCAAAGGCCATTATCCATCCCTTCGGGCTGACCGATCAGGAGCGTTCATCCTCACCCCGCCCTTTCGAATTCCTCACTTGCTCGGTCGTCTCGCAACCCTTGCACCAGTGCCTCTGTCGCTTCCTGCCTATTCTAGGCACCTTTCTCCTCGTTTCAACTATTTTCTTAATCTGGGAGCTACCTGGTCAAATGGGGCAAACCCAGAGTACCCCACTCTCCCTCCTCTTGGCTAATTTCAGGGACATTCGGGCAAGAGGCAATGACCTGAGCCTGGATATCCGGAGATCTAGACTCATCACTTTTTGCCACTCTGAATGGCCAACCTATGGGGTGGGATGGCCCACTGAGGGCACCTTCTGTCTACCTGTAATCCTCAAGATCAAGGCCCAAGTTCTCCTACCTGGGAAAGAGGGACACCCAGACCAAGCCCCCTACATCCTGGTCTGGCAAGATTTAGTGGAAAATCCCCCTCCCTGGTTGGCCCACTTCCTCTCCTCAGGAAGTTGCAAGATCCTTGCAGCCCGACCCACGGAATCCCCCAGACCTCGAAACCCATCTGCGCCCCCTCCACCTGTCCTCCCTGATAGCCAAGACTTACTCAGTTTAGACCCACCCCCTTACCTACCTCCTCCCACGAGGCCCCAGGTTGCCCCCATGCCAATGGCCGCACCCGCTCCACCCCAGGCGGGAACGGAGGGTCGAGAGGCGGTGGCCGCAGCCCCTGTCACCCACGGAGGGACCAACGGGCCTGCCGGGCACACTAGAGGGCGCTCTCAAAGGGAGAACCCTCCCCGGCCGCCGGACTCAACTGTTGCTTTACCCTTCCGGGAGACTGGCCCCCCGATGATACTGGCAATCCCCAACTCCAGTATTGGCCCTTTTCAACCAGTGATCTGTATAACTGGAAAATTCAGAATGCGCGATTTTCAGATAACCCGAAAGATCTTATAGCTCTCCTAGACAGCATCATGTTCACACACCAGCCCACCTGGGATGACTGCCAGCAGCTCTTGCGTATTCTGTTTACCATCGAGGAAAGAGAGAGGATCCAGGTGGAGGCGAGAAAGCTGGTCCCGGGGGACGATGGCCGGCCAACGGTCAATCCAGACCTCATTAATGCGGGTTTCCCCTTGACCAGGCCTGACTGGGACTACAACGCAGCAGAAGGTAGGAGACTACTGCTCATTTATCGCCAGACTCTAATGGCGGATCTCAGGGCTGCTGCTTGCAAGCCCACCAATTTGGCCAAAGTGTATGCAGTGATGCAAGGTAAGACAGAGAGCCCGGCAGCATTCCTAGAGAGATTGATGGAAGCCTTTAGACAGTATACCCCCATGGATCCCGAGGCCCCTGAGAATCAGGTAGCAGTAGTTATGTCCTTTGTAAACCAGGCGGCCCCTGACATTAAAAGAAAACTCCAAAAATTAGAGGATCTAGAAGGCAAGCAGGTTCAGGATCTGCTCCGCATAGCAAAGCGGGTCTACAACAACCAGGACACCCTGGAGGATAAACAGCTTAAAGCGACAAAGGAGATGACCAAAGTCCTGTCTACTTTCGTCCAAAAGGAGTCTACCCCTCGAGGGGAATCTCAAATAGCCCGACAACCCAGACGTCCCCTAGATAAAGACCAATGCGCAAATTGCAGGGAAAAGGGACACTGGGCACGTGAATGCCCTAAAAGGAACCCTCCTCGGGCTAAGCCACAACCATGGGAGCCAAAGCCCAACCCCATTCTGTTTACCAAGAACTCTGACTAGGGGGGACAAGGTTCGGATCCCCTCCCCGAGCCCAGGGTAACCCTACGAGTGGAGGGGAACCCCATACAGTTACTGGTTGACACCAGAGCCCAACAATCGGTGTTGACCAAACCCCATGGAAAGATTTCGGATAAGTCCTCCTGGGTCCAGGGAGCCACCGGGACTAAAAGATACCCCTGGATCACTCAACAGACAGTGGACTTGGACACAGGGAAAGTGACTCACTCTTTCCTGGTCATCCCTGATAGCCCCTGCCCCTTGTTGGGGAGGGACTTGCTCACCAAAATGGGAGCGCACGTTTACTTCCAACCCGGCGGTCCCATGGTGACGACTCTCAGAACCTGCCATTATCGATACTTACAGTGCGTTTGGAAGATGAGTATCGGCTCCACCAAACAGCACCCCCTCAGGAACAAAATATCGAGTCCTGGCTTCTCTGGTTCCCTGAAGCCTGGGCAGAAACAGGAGGTGTGGGACTAGCTAAGCACCGACCGGCCCTCTTTATAGAACTTAAACCTGGGGCCGACCCCGTCCAGGTCAAACAGTACCCCATGTCCACTGAGGCTAAATCGGGTATCACCCCTCACATCCATTGCCTCCTGAACTCAGGGGTGCTACGCCCCTGCCACTCGGCTTGGAACACACCCCTGCTGCCAGTACATAAGCCCAACGGCGGAGACTACCGGCATGTACAAGACCTGAGGGAAGTTAACAAGCGGGTTATGGACATACATCCTACTGTCCCTAACCCCTACACTCTCCTCAGTGCCCTGAGGCCTAACAAGAAATGGTACACTGTTCTCGACCTGAAGGATGCCTTTTTCAGTCTGCCCTTGGCACCCAAAAGCCAAGATCTCTTTGCGTTCGAATGGACAGACCCTGAGAAAGGCATAAATGGGCAGCTGACATGGACTCGTCTCCCGCAAGGATTCAAGAACTCGCCCACCCTGTTTGATGAGGCCCTCCACGAGGATCTAAGTGAGTACAAGAGACAAAATCCTAATATAACGCTCTTGCAGTATGTAGATGATCTCTTAATAGCTGCGGAGACTCAACAGGCCTGCCTTCAAGGAACCGAAAACCTCCTTTGGACACTCGGTGACCTAGGGTTCCGAGCCTCAGCAAAGAAGGCCCAGATCTGTAAGCCTGAGGTAGTGTACCTGGGATACCTGCTAAGAGGGGACAAAGATGGCTCACCGATGCCCTCAAGGACACTGTGGTCCGCATCCCCCGACCTACCTCGTCACATCAGGTAAGGGAGTTCCTGGGGACAGCAGGATACTGCCGACTATGGATACCAGGCTTCGCCGAGATGGCCAAACCCCTGTACATAGCCTCCAAGAACCAGCAGAACTTTAAATGGACGGAGGAGGCAGAGCGAGCCTTCCAACAGATAAAGGAGGCCCTCCTCTCAGCACCCGCTCTGGGACTGCCAGACATTTCCAAACCGTTCCACTTATATGTGGATGAGCGTAATGGGGTGGCAAAGGCAGTATTGACCCAACATTTAGGCCCCTGGCCTAGACCCGTAGCATATCTCTATAAGAAATTAGACCCAGTGGCAGCAGGGTGGCCCCCTTGCCTTCGAATGATAGCAGCCACCGCCTTGATGGTGAAAGATGCCGATAAGTTGTCAATGGGTCAGGAATTGCATGTGACCACCCCTCATGCTATTGAGGGTGTCCTTAAACAACCTCCGGACTGATGGATGAGTAATGCTCGCATGGTCCACTACCAAGGACTGCTGCTAAACCCCCTGAGAATAGCTTATATTCCCCCTCGGGCTCTAAACCCCGCATTACTGTTACCTGACCCAGACCTAGACACCCCCCTCCATGACTGCGCCGACATATTGGCCCAGGTTCACGGGCTGAGGGAAGACCTGCAGGACTACCCCTGACGGATGCTGAGGTCGTTTGGTTCACTGATGGCAGCAGTTTCGTCCACGAAGGACAGAGGCACGCAGGGGCCCCGGTCACATCTGAAACAGAAGTTATCTGGGTGGAAGCATTGCCTCCGGGCACCTCAGCACAGAAGGCTGAGTTAATCGCCCTGGCCCAGGCCCTTAAGTTGGGGCAAGGCCTCCGGATGACTGTATACACAGACAGCCGATATGCCTTTGCCACGGCCCACATTCATGGAGCAATTTACAGGGAGAGGGGGCTACTCACCGCCGAAGGAAAAGACATTAAAAACAGGGATGAAATTTTGGCCCTACTAACAGCCATCTGGGCCCCCAAGAAGCTAGCCATAGTACATTGCCCTGGTCATCAGAAACCAAATGATCCGGTCTCCCAGGGAAACAATTTTGCTGACCAGACTGCTCGCCAGATAGCCTACGGGAACATTCCAGTACTACCCATACAGCTACCCAACCCGGGGCCCCGAGAACTGCCGCCTCGCCCCGAGTACTCTGAGGAAGACATTACCTGGATGAGTAAACTCCCGATGACTCAGGTCAAGGATGGTTGGTGGCGGGACGCTAAGGACAATATCATCCTCCCCGAGGCCCTGGGACAGGCAGTCTTAGAGAGGATTCATCACACGACCCATTTGGGCTCCAGAAGACTCCAGGACCTTATGAGACAATCCAAGTTGATCATCAAAAACATCACCGAAAAAGCTAAAAGAATTGCCTCAGGTTGTACAGCCTGCCGGCTTCAGAACGCTTACCCACGTCCCGCTGTGATCGGATCCCGAGAAAGAGGGACCCTGCCAGGGGCCTACTGGGAGATAGATTTTACAGAGGTAAAGCCTGGAAAATATGGCTATAAGTATTTACTGGTGTTTGTAGATACCTTTTCAGGATGGACTGAGGCTTTCCCAACCAAGCATGAAACAGCGCAGGTTGTAGTGAAGAAACTACTTGAGGACATTCTGCCCAGGTATGGCTTCCCTGTTATGTTGGGTTCAAATAATGGGCCAGCCTTCGTCTCTAAGGTAAGTCAGGGCCTGGCTTCCGTACTCGGGGTTAATTAGAAATTACATTGTGCATAGAGACCCCAGAGCTCAGGACAGGTAGAAAGGATGAATAGAACCCTAAAAGAGACCCTTGCAAAATTGACCATGGAGACTGGCGCTAACTGGGTGGCTCTACTCCCCTACGCTCTGTATCGGGTACGCAACACCCCATACAAACTGGGGCTCACGCCATATGAAATCATGTATGGCAGGCCTCCTCCCATCATACCCAAACTCAAAACTGACCTCATTGAGTCGGACCAGGATAACTCCCTCTTATTTTCCCTCCAACCCCTGCAGCAGGTCCACAAAAGAATTTGGCCTAAACTGAAGGATTTATACGAGACAGGCCCGCCACCGGCATCCCACCAACACTGCCCGGGGGATTGGGTCCTCGTCAAGCGACACCAGCCTGAGACTCTCGAGCCCAGATGGAAAGGGCCTTACCAGATCATCCTGACCACCACTACAGCTGTTAAAGTAGACAACATAGCCACCTGGATCCACCACACTCACATCAAACCAGTCGACCCCCTGTCGGATCTCGTCGGGAAACCTAACCCGGACGCCAATTGGACGGTTGACCGCAGTAAGGACAATCCCCTAAAGCTCACCCTGCGCCGAAACCCTCCCCCTCAGTAACCGACATGGGGAACCTACTCGCAGTTCTGATCTTATTATCATTGCCTTGGACCCCCATGACCAATCCCCATGCCCCAGCCACTCTAACCTGGCAGATCATTAATAGCATAGGACTAACAGTTTGGAATGTATTTCATACCGCCACCCCCTACACCTGGTGGCCTAACTTATACCCTGACATTTGTAAAATAGCCTTGGGGGCCCCAGCAAACTGGGACTTAGAATTCGAAAGGGGGGACCTAGAAATGGGGTCCATTTGGGGATGGGGACCACAAATCCATCACCCCCCAGACGATTAGGGTTAGATCCCTGGGGAGGTTGTGG